AGGTGCTACTAATCCAAGTGGGTCAAACACGGACGACAACACAGAGAGCACACCTCTCCGAGTAACTGGCTTATCAATATCACCAACACTAAATCCAAAGGTATCAGAGTTCACATCCCATCGCATACCTAATGTGCGTTCAACTGGTAGAGTATCAACAGGCAAATCTCGTACGGTAGGTGCTCTGTCTTCTGGATCTATATGCTTCAAAACGTCTAGGCTGTTCGAGACCCACTTAGTTAGACGAAAGCCGGCCTTAGCTAACACTTCAGTGATGCTTGTTGCAAATCTAACTGCAGACTTATCATCATCGAAGGAGGCTAAACAATCATCCACGTAGAAGCAACAATCTATGACGTCCAGCAAATCATTAGAACCAAATGTGGACACTGCCTTTCGTAGAGCAAAATTAGCACAAAACGGGGAGGACGTGGCACCAAATGGATGCACTGTCATCCTATATTCTGACACCTTACCACAAGGACCGTCATCAAACCACAAAAACCTCAAGTGATCTCTGTCACTCTCTGGCACCTTCACCTGTAGGAACATTTCCTCAATATCCGCCGCGACAGCAACTGTAAACTTTCTGAATCTCAATAGCAGTCCCACTAATGAGCTCACGCAATCTGGGCCACTATACAGATTATCATTTAAAGAGACTCCTTCATGTTTCGCAGAACAATCAAACACCACACGGAGTTTACCTGGCTTCCTCGGGTTAAAGACGGGATGATGGGGCAAATACCACTTCCCTGGCTCACTCTGATCAACTAGTCTTTCAACGTAACCCTTCATTATATGTTTATCGACGACTTCCTTATATTTGGACCAGAGTTCTGCATCTGACAGAAATTTCTTCTGTAAACCCATTAGTCTCTTAAGAGCAACTTTCCTATTACAAACCAACTGTCTATCTTTGAATCTCCATGGTAGGCCAACGCTGAAACGCCCGTTTTCGTATTTACAAGAGTCCTCGGCTATTTTAACTGCTTTTAAGTCTTCTACAGAACGACCCTTCCCTGGGACACCGCAGTCACAAAACTCCTTGTCATACATATTTTTAATCATAGTTTCTAGTTTGTCCCCATCGTTTGCAACTAATGATGATATGTGGACTATGGGTATAGGTCCTCTCACTGTCCATCCCAGTGGTGTTTTCGTCGCAAACAGATCATCTCTACCTCCAAATCTCTCTTCTAATACCTTGTGAGCTTCTGGCACACTACATCCAATGAGTACTCTCACTCTTCCATCTTGCAGTGTTGGAAGAGGTATGTCACACAGGTATGGCTTACCGACAACCGTTTCACGACTAGGTACTATAGCTTCGCCAAGTTTCATACTGGAGGTAGTGTAAGCAGTATCCACTTCCACGGTCTCCCCAGTAGCCAAGGATTCTAACTGAAATGACACTCGCTCACATACTACTGTTTTCGCAGAATTGAAAGTATTTACAACCAAGGGTTGCTTTGGGCCTTTAATACCCAAGCAACCAGCCAGTTCAGCATCTATCAATGTAACGTCTGAACCATTATCCAACAATGCATAAGTCTCTACTGAAGATTTCGGTCCTTTCACCTTAACTGGTAATACCCCTAAGAAAACATGTGGGGTGTCAAGGGGTCTAGAGATACTATTACAATTAACCGAATTCCCAGGTTCGTTCACTGTTCTCAGAAGTGGGTGCATATCCCTAAAACCACTACTTCTTTTATTTGTCGCCTTACAATTCCACTTTGTATGCCCAATCTTTAAACAACTGAAACACAGCCGCTTCTGCTTTGCCATTTTTAACCTTTCTACGGGTGACATAGCGATAAAGCGATTACAATCACTCAATTGATGCATGTTATGGCAAACAATACACTCATCCTTTCTCGTTGTGTCTTGAGACTTCACCTCAAATGCCTTCATTATATTCACTGTTTCCTTAGGTTCTACCTTAGAATGCAAAATGCTGGCGAATTTGCCCATCGCCTGGTTGACACTGTCCTTCACCAGTCTCAGAATATCATCGAATTTTGGCTCGATACCCTCATCCTCCGTACGGGAGCTAATCTTCACCCACTTCCTTTGCAGTCAAGTAGGTAGACGTCTTGCTATTACTTCTAGTATAAAACTCGAGTTGAGGTCACTCATGCGATTCATCGAAATCATTCCATTCTTGTAAATAAGCAAATTATCTAAAAACTCAGTGAGTGCCTGGGAGTCATCCTGTAATTGACCACCATTACCCTTAACAGCGTCGAATAATTTCCCTGCAATCGTCGAAGGTCTTCCAAACCTTTGACGTAATATGCTCATAGCCTCATCGTAGCCCTCTTTTGGCTTCACAAACTTACAACATTGTATAGCTCTTGCAGCATCTCCAGTGCAATATCTCATCAAATACATTAACTTCAATTCATCACTTAATAAAAAACTATTCAGCATGATCTAAACTCCTTTACAAATTGTAAATAATCAGCTGGGTTTCCATCAAAACATCGTGGTTCTAATTTAGGGAGTTTGATGTTCCTATTATCCCTGAACGGCGAAACAGTAACATCAACCATGTCATGCTTAACATCAGACACATCGTTACAATTAACAGACAAGTCACCATGACTTACTTTCCTGTTTGCATCCAAGACACTCTGTCCCTTCTTTGACCCAGGCATTGTTGAACTTGACCCAATTCCAAAAACGTTCCAGATATTGCTTGTTCAAAGAGGACTTGACCGGCACCAGGAAAGATGAACGGTGACTATCCAATCTGTTACCAACGGTCCAAACCGGTCGAAAACTGACTTCTTCGTCAGAAACTGTCAGTCACGTCTGGTAAACCGTTAATGCCCAGCTCTCGCTACGCTCGGGCCCACGCTGTTCCTTGCAGTTTTTCAGAAACGCTTAGTAATAACGGACGCAAAAACCAAAACACCGATTTGCCGCTCGAGGATTCTTTATTGTTACACCAACATATAAAAAATAATTCCTCTAAGGTCTCTGAACAAAGATTACAATAATAAATCACAAAATTACTTCTGACGATGGTTTACTGCCTTCTTTCTGAACAGCGACCGATGAGACAATGACTGTCGTATTGATGCCTCTGCGAAAATTGGGGAAGTTGAGTTTGATCAAACAACCATGAATTGATCGTTCAATCTTCAACTGCATTGACAACAAGTTTAAGATAATTTTAGAAACTGAGGAGCTGTTGACAGTAGGTGCTAGTCTCCATAAGGAAGACTAAGGCATAAAAGGTGTGCTAGCTACGTAGCTTTACTAGGTATGATAATACTTACTGAGATGATCCAAAGAAAGTAGCTTAGTAATTAGGAGGACTATATTTTCAACAAGTGATAGAATGATATGGTTAGTCATGATAAGCCTACCAGAGAAATGGTGGTCATTTCATTAGCTTTAGTTACCTGTCAGCAACACAGTTTACAATGCATCAATTGGGCTGTATTTAACTGCTTTAGGTAAAATCTGCACAGTCTTTATCAGTGTGCTCATCCTGACTTTCTTTTAACCAATCGGACTTTCATATGTTCTGACCTCAGGAGGTGTTTGGTTTCAAAAATCATCGTGGGGAAGAATTCAGCCTTCGTGATCTGTCCGCAGGTCGTTGCACAAACGACATGTTTTAAGATGTGTCCACGCTATGGACTAGCATCTGCAACAATCCTTCTAACCGTAGGGCTTCTAGTCTTAAGCGAATACATATGTCATTACATTCGTCTTCTTCATCTAACCCAGTTATGCGTTCCTGATACAGTTTCTGGAAAATTTCGGCTGTCAACGTAAATGAAGATTGAACCATCAATTCATGTTTGTTTGCTCAAAACCAACTTCCCCAATTTTCGCGGAGGCATCAATACGACAGTCATCGTCTCATCGGTCGCTGTTCAGAAAGAAGTCAGGAGAAAATCGTCAGAAACCTTAGTTGTACATTGGCTATATGTTGGTGTTAGAATAAATAATTCTCGAGTCGCCAAACTGGGTTCTGGTTTTCGCGTCCATTCGTACTAAGCGTTTCTGAGAAGCCTCGAGGAACAGCGTGAGTCCTAGCGTAGCAAGAGCTGAGTTTACGAGACGTGGCTGACATCGGCCTTTATTTAGGTTGGCTGATCTGAAGATACTGGGAAGAGGATCACAATGTTTAGGTTAAGAGCGGTTCCACATCCTGCCTATAATTGGGAGAGTTTGTGAACACTTATAGGAAGCTGGTAAGTCTTATACAGTCGGATACCACCTCATTTGCGTGATCAGAAAATGGCAGATACGAACGTTTCCCCATAATCTGTGACTGAGTCTGAAACGATGACACGCACGCACCGAGGTAGACTTTAGGTTTTCTAAGTCTGAAGTAAGTTGTGCCACACATATTTCGGCCGGGATTTGACCACCACTTTTCGCTGCAGTTACCTAGACTAGTTAAGTCTTATCAAGCTTTACTTTCAACACCCATACTACTGTAATGGATATCGTATATTATCTTGCTTTCATCAGGACATTTATGAATAGCAGGAATAAGACAGTAGCAAGTTGGTTACTCTGTATTGCACCCCTACTTATTGGACTAGCTGCAAACAACA